TGAACCACCTTTGCTGGGAGAGCAGGGGACATGGCTTCATAGTACCATTTCTTCCACAGGGTTCGATGGGATCTTTCTGGATGTGGTCTGATGTGCTGACTGGTAATACAGTCCTAGGATTTGGCCCGGCTGATCTGGGTGGGAGGAATGTGGTTTAGGTGAAGAAAATGAAAGGAAAGCTGATCTGGGACCTGACCCTTGATCCAGCAAGGGGAATATGTGGTAAAAACTCTTGAATTTCTAAGAGGCAGATAAAGGTGGGGACCGGGGGGAGGGGAGCCTGAGCTGGTGTGGGGGACAGTAGCTGGAGCAGGTTTGCTAAGGGGTGCTAACAGTGTTTATTAAAACAGTAGCAGCAACAAAGGCAAATTGTTTCTCTAGCCCTGGGTGTGGGCAGAGTAGTGTGGGAAGGGAAGAAGGTAGATTTTATTTTCTTTCTTTCTTTCTTTCTTTATTTTTGAGTTGGAGTCTCACTCTGTCACCCAGACTGGAGTGCAGTGGCCGCTCCCGGCCCCCGCAGCCTCGACCTGCTGGGCTCCGGCGATCCTTCCGCCTCAGCCTTCCAAGTAGCTGCAACTACAGGCGCGTGCTACCACACCCGGGCTAATTTTTTGATTTATTGTAGAGATGAGGTCTCGCCAAGTTGCCCAGGCAGGACTCAAACCCGTGGGCTCAGGCAATCCACTCACCTCAGCCTCCCAAAGGCGCGGGATTACAGGCTGAACCCGGCTGAGAAGGTAGATTTTAAAGGGAATTGTGTGTGAGAGGGTTTCTTTTTGTACAGGCACTTCTTAACAGATGAAAGCTGTAACTTTTGGTGAAATTTCTTTTCAGGATAAAGGACCTTTGACAGGTTGAGGCCTCCTTGGAAGCATGTGGCACCATTTTTTCCCTGTCCCCTTACCTTGCCAGACTCTCACTCATCTGTTCATGACTATCCTTCCTTCTCTTTGCTAGGCAGTCTCCTCACTCCCCAAAGCCCAGTCCAAAGGACACTTTTGGTCGCTGAAATATAATTTTGTCCCTTGTAGACACCGTGGCCCTTCTCATTTCTGTTATAGGACATACAGCATATTGTATAGTATACACAACGCAAGGCTGTCTGTCCAGAGTTGAATTTCCTGTTTAGGGGGTGTTCACGGCACATAGTAGGTGCTCAGTAAATGCTTGAGTGCGATTGAGGTGTTATTCCCTCCTGTCTGGTTTTCTCCCCCACTGTCGACCGTCCAAACCAGAGAAAATTTCTTTTATTGACCTCTCTTGGCTCTGACTCTTTGGAATCCCAAAATGGGACATCTTAGATAGGTAAGATTGCCATTGTTGTGAGGGTGACAGAATGGGGACTTTTTTACAGGGCATTTCCAGCATCCCATGTGGAACGTTGTATTTCCCAGTAATAGAGGTTTTGAAAGAGGTGAGAGCTCCTGAGGTGGTCTTGTCACACTCTTTCCACACTTCCTAACCGTCTCTGTGTGTTAGGCATTGTGGTGGGTGCTGAGATCCATGAGTAAATGCGCTCTCTTGGAGTTGTCTTCTAGAGCGACGTATAACTGAAAAGTAGTCGTATGTCTCGACTACTCATTATGATGCAGGTGCTTTGCCGAGCGCTTTATATACACGAACACCTTCAGTCATTCAACAAGCACGTGAGGAAAACGAGGCCCAAGCAGGTCATGGGCACACACCTGGCGCGAGGCAGCGCTGGGATCCTCACGCAGGACGCTGGTGTTTTGGCCCCGTTTCCTACGGCCCCTTAATAGAGTGACGAGGCATGTTTAATCTAACGGGGACCCGGACTCCTCCATCCCCTAGTGTGGCTGAAAGTAAAGTCTTGCTTTCCCAAGAAAATGAGTAGCTGAATTAAAATCAGACTTACTAGAGGATTGCCAGTATCTGAAAACAATAGAAAAAGGAGTATTTAACCTTATCTTCAGGGTCAGGTAGACTAAAAATTAGTCATGGAAATGTTTAGGATAGCCTGAAACGTCCAGATTGGTCAGGGGCTTACTGACCCTGGCCTAGGAAGCTGCGTAAAATACCTTTATCCTTCCATGTCCACAAGTTCAATCATGTCTCTAGAACATAATCTTGAACCAGAAGAGCCTAATCTAAAACAATTTAATTTCTAAGGTTGAGCCCCAGGACCATCTTTACTAAGAGCTCCTTAGTTCGACTATGGCTGCAAGTCACTTGAGGGGGAGTGGAAGAAGAGTCAAGGAACAGAATTCTAGCTCTATTATATCATCAAATACGTGTGTGATTTTAGACCGATTCCAAAGCACCCTGGGCCTTAGCTCCCTTCTTTGCAAAATAAAGTGAATGGATGAATATTAATGTCTTTCAAGCTCTGAAATTCTGTAGATCTATCTCCCAGAAATATTAAACATTAAGCCCCTAAGTGCATATGTAATGTAATAATTTCAAATAAAAATACCTAGCATTTTATAGGATTCCATAATACGTAGGTAATCTCATATGTGCTATTGAAGACATGTCTTTTTCTGGTCTTGGCTCCTAGAATGCATGCCTGAATGACTACTAACATTTTAACTCATTCACTTCATTTTATATGGGCAAGTCAGTAACTTAAGGTAGCAAGAAAGAACTTGCTTTAAAGTAATAAATATATTAAGATCCAAAATACTGTCAACTGTATTTGAAACAGATCTGGGTAGAGGAATTTGCAGAAATTCAAGGACATTTCTGGAACTGATTGTCTGAAAGAAGCGATCCTTAAGTACACATCTTGACTAGGCTCGGTGGCTCAGCCCGTAATCCCAGCACTTTGGGAGGCTGAGGTGAGTGAATTGCCTGAGCCTTCGGGTTCAAGACCAGCCTGGGCAACTTGGCGAGACCTTGTCTCTGCAATAAATAAATAAATAAATAAAATTAGCTGGGAGTGGTAGTGCGTACCTGTGGTTCAGGCTACTTGAAAAGCTAAGGTGGGAGGATCACCTGAGCCCAGTAGGTCAAGGCAGCGGTGGCTATGAGCATACCACTGCCTTCCAGCCTGGGCGACAGAGTGAGACTCTAACTCAAAAAAAAAAAAAAAGATTTTCTTATCTTATAACAGCATCAATATAATTTTTTTTTGAGTCAGGGTCTTACTCTGTTGCCCAGACTGGAGTGCAGTGGTACCGTCATAGTTCACCGTAGCCTTGACCTTCTGCCTTAACCTCTTAAGTAGCTGGGATTACAGGTGCATGCCACCACACCCAGCTAATTTTTTAATTTTTTTGTAGTGACAAGGTCTTGCTATATTGCCTAGGCTGGTCTCTTAACTACTAGGCTCAAGCAATCCTTTTGCCTCATCCTCCTAAATTGCTGATATAACAGGCGTTAGCCACCACACCTGGCCTTGAAATTTAACAGGTAAGTGAAAGTGGATTTCTTTTTTCTTCTGTTTGGTCCTTCACTAACCCTTTCAAGTTCCCTGTGGTGGATCCTAACTTTGAAAGGATAATTTTGGGGGCTGAGTGATCCAGTAAACCAAACTAGCCCCCCCAGGCCCCACCTATGTCACATGTATAGAGTCTGTTCCAGTGACAGCATACTTGGACTTCCAGCATAGTTTCTGTCATCACAAACCATTCCATTAACCAGTCCTCTGGGGAAGAGATAGTTCTTTCGAGTATGCATTCTCAGGCTCATATGGCCACTGAATCCTGGACATGGCATACAGTCATATTAGAACACGATTGTAGGGTGAGGCAAGTTGAAATTCCTTCTAGGCTAGGACCCCCAACATAGCTCAGATTTAATTCTGACCATCGACTAGGACTCCTTTGAAGGAGGTACACTCATAAGAACTATAACCAGGATATCGGAGGCCTTTTTATAGCACTTGCTTCCAACATAATTAGTGCTTCCTATGACAAGTTCTTTGTAAGAACTAAAAGCCTATTTTAGGCTAAAAATCCTTCCTAGAGTTTTATTTCAATTTGGTAAATAAGTAATACTGAACACTAAGATGTAGTCATTGTTTCCAGCACCCAGAAAATACATTATCATGTTCTATTAAGGAGTTTTTGGTCCTCCTTCCTTGTGTTTCCACAAATACTTCAGTTTTATTTTTCCAACGTGTCTCCTACCCTGCAGGCTTTAAATAACACATATAATATCTTCTTGTCTTCACTTAATAGACCATGTTGTGCTTATTCATTTAAGCTTCCCCACTCTTAGGCCTTTTATGGAGTAACTTCTTACTTGATGGAGTCTTGTCAGACCCAAGAGTAATAATATTATGTGTGTCTTGTGGGTTGAATAAAATATTTTTTTAAATACTATTTTGGTAAAAGGAATCTTCTGAGAGCAGTGATGTGTGTGTGCAAAATTCTTTGTATTTGAACTAAATAAGAAGTTTTGTTAAGAAGTTTTGTTAAGTTTGGGATCTGTGGAAATCCTTGATTTCTTTTGGCGTGTGTGTGCAAAATTCTTTGCACTTGAACTAAATAAGAAGTTTTGTTAAGAAGTTTGGGATCTGTGGAAATCCTTGATTTCTTTTGGCTTCTTGCAGCCCAGATGCTTTTAGCCACAGGCAATAGAGTAAAAAAATATGCGCGTGAGAAACCTATAAACCAGAAAGTGATGACAGCAGGCAAAGTGGAGTGCTATAAAATTTTTATCATCACACCTGAAGTGATCATGTTGCTTATTAGTGGCGCACATTCAAGTTCTAACAAGTGGCAGTTGTAGTCGAGCTCAGCCTTGCCATGTGCTTTCTTTGCCAGCTTCCTTTTTACCTTCCCCTTGTTTTCCTGCTTTGAAGTTCACTCATTATCCTGGTTTGCTGCAGCACCGCGTGGGGAGGATGGCTTTACTGACCTGTATTTTTCATAGTCTGTACCACCTTTCTGTTTTCCAGTTGTCCCAGTTACTTTGCGCTTCTTATATGCTGTGATATTCCTGTGTTGTCAAACCAGCACCTCTTCCTGCAGCTTCAGGGGCTTGATTAAGGGCTCCCTGAAGAGATGTGTCTGTTACGTAGCTCTCTAAGCAGTATGTCGACTCTGATTGAGAACCTGGCTCTCTGTAGGCTTTCAGGTGGTTGTCTTCATGGGTGGGGGATGGTCATTTTATCAGGGAAAAGCACATAGTGTGAAGGTGGAACATCTACCTTGAGGAGTGTTCTGGAATGGGAGTATTTCCCTTTAGTAAGTCCACAGTTCAAAGTATCTTGCTTTACCTCCCCAAGAACTCAAAGATTTGAATTTGTCTGTTTACGGAAGTTAAAGAGAACTTTGTTGAGACTTAGGAGGAGATATGATAGACTGGTATGCAGCTTTAATGTGGTTTTAAGTTTGAGTAATACAGGAAGGAAAAATCATGCATAATTCTATCATGCCAATATAACTAATATGATCATCTTGCAAATCCCTTTTCAGGATTCCTATATGTAGAGTTTCACATAATTGTAAAGCTACGGTACATGGGATTTAGTTTTCTGGGCTTTTTTCCCAATTAGTATTGTGTCAGACTATTTCCAGGCTGTTCTGAATCTTGAGTAGTATACAGCCATTAAAATTAGCTTGGAGTAAGAGAGCTACTATCATTCAGTCATTCCCCTGATGTCAGACATTTGTTGTTTCTCATTTTTTGCAACAGCTGATGATGTTGCAATGAAATTACTGGTCATAATTAGGTTAAAAGAAGGGATTGAGAAAGGGGTGAAGTGGGCAGGAGAGCAGGGGGAGAAGGTCTTTTTAGCTCAGCTTTGGAAGGGAAGGCAGCCCAGGGAAGGCATGATGCCCCTGGATCTGGAAAGATGATGGGTGTGTTCAGGAGTTGGGAGTGGAGCATTTATAGTTAAATCATTGGCCTGTTTTCTTCCATTGGGTTTTACAAGACATTAACATGAATGAGCCTAAACCCTTTAAGTAGGTGACACTAGCTATATAAATAAAAACTACAGAAAGCTTTGTGAGAAAGCTAGGAGGTATCATGAATATGATGTTTATTGTAGATTTTCTTAAAGGTAAATTTCCACACATAAGAATGCTGAGTTAAAAGGTATGGCTATTTCAGTGGTTCTTGATCCACACTGTCAAATAGTTTTCCGAAAGAATAGTGGCAGCTTATATCACACGCACCCCATGTCTACAGACTCCCTCCAGCATACACTTATCAGCACTGGGTATTTTAGTTTTTAATAAGTAAGAAATGGCGTTTCATCACTTGAATCCACACTTCTGACAACAAAAATAAAATTGAAGTAAATAGATTTTTTTACTCATAGGTTTGCTATTTTCTTTCTAATGAATGGCTGATTTAGTTCTTTATTCATTTTATTGTTTGTGATCCTGCTGTTTTCTTACCCATTTGCTTGAGTTATTTTTGGTGTTTTATTTTTTTCCTATAAATATTTGCTGCTCTTTTACCTTATAAAAAGCTATTATTACTATTACTATTTTGCATTACCATCTGTTGCTCTTTTCCTTCATATTCACTTCTAAGTTTAGGAAATTATCGTCTCCCTAAAGATCTAGAAAAGATTCCATTTAATATGTTTTGTTATGTAACGATAGCTAAGTAAAAAATCTTTTCCCAAATTATCAAGTCATTGTTACAGTACTATTTAAAAAGTACATTTTATTACTCTGTGATGGCTTTTATCATAAATGATTACAAATTTTTCTGTTTCTGGGCTATTTCATTTCTTTATTGATCTCTGAGTTTATTTCTGTAAATATAAGTATGAAGCATATTTATTATTACCGTTCAGTTTGAGTTTTTGTAAGTGAACAGTAGGTACCTCATTGATCTAAATACTAGGCATTGGTTTTAGGCAAAAAAGTTGGGGCAGGCAACATAGAAGAAACTTACAATTTTATCTGAGTTTTTCTGATCACTAGGCTCTGTGCTGTTCTTACAACATTTACTTAATATATTTATTTTAATGCTGCTCAAATTTTATTCCAAAATTGGGGGGAATTTTAAAGCAATTATAAACCTAAACAAAATTTTATTTGCCTTTTTTGGGGGACAGAATTTAAGAATTCTGAGGGTTTTGATTACAGGTAGTTTCTCATTTTATTATGTATCCATCTACTTGTTTATTTTTATTTTTGATAAACTGTCTCTCCTTAGCTAGACTGCAGGTCTTCCTGGTTGCTGAAGATATTTTTTTTCCTTGTGATGGCTTTCAGTACTATGTTCTGTGTATTGGCAAATATCTGAGCTTAATAGTTGGGTGGTGCCCTTAGCATGGATGTTATGTAAGGGATTGTCACCTTCTTTTAGAGTCAGTCATCCCACGAAGTTGAAGGACTCAGTAAGGCATTATGGAATCAGGAGGCTAATGTGACAGCCTTGACTCCAACACCAATTAATTACCTGTCAAGACCTTGGTTTCCTCATCAGTGGAATGAATAGGTTGGCCTAGTGACCCCAAGTGACTGTCCTAAGCTGACATTCTGTGATTCTCCTTCTATGAGATACTATCATGAGGAATCCTTACTTTTACGTTGGATTTTAAAGTGGAAAAGAGAAAATGAAAACCAGAGTTTAACTTAAACACTTTGAAGTGTCATTCGTGAGATTCTAGTCATGTGTCATGTTGCTTTAATCCAATAGTTTTTTGTTTGTTTTTTTTTTGAGTCAGGGTCTCACTCTTGCTCAGGCTGGAGTGCAGTGGCATGATCATGGCTCGCCAAGCCTTGTCCTCCTGGGCTCAGGCGATCCTTCTGTCTCAGCCTCCCAAGTAAATGGGACTTCAGGCATGTGCCACCAAGCCCAATTTTTAATTTTTTTTTGTAGAGACAAAGTCTTGCTATATTGCCCAGACTGGTCTCTAGCAACCCTTCCTGCCTTGGCCTCTCAAAGTGCTGAGATTACAGGCTGAGCCACTGCACCTGGCCTAGTCCAATAGTTCTTAATTAAAAGTATGCATTAGAATTACCAGGGAACATTAAAATACATGCACATATGTGTGTGCATATAATACCTATATACACACACATAAATACTCAAGCTCAAACCCATGCCTTGCAATTCTCTTTCAGCAGGTCAAGGATGAGAACTAGGAGACCTTGGTGATTCTGATGCAAGTAAGAGTTGAGGGGCCTATCTTACACTGCTGGAGGGAATGTAAATGGTAGAACTGCTTTGGAAAACAGTTGGACAGTTCCTCAAATAGTCTAACAGAGTTTCCATATGACCCAACAATTCTACTCAGTGTATGTGCAAAATAATCGAAACCAGGTGCTTGCACAAAAACTTGTACGTGAATGTTCATAGCTCTATTCACAATAGCCAAAAAGTGGAAACAACCCAAATGTCCAATAACTGATGACTAAAGAAGTAAAATATGGTATAGCCATACAATGGGATATTATTTGGGGCTGTGAGAGAAACGAAGAACTGAAACATGCTCCAGCATGGATGAACCTTGGAAACATTCTGCTGCATGAAAGAAGCCAGTTACAAATGACTACACGTTGTATGAGTCCAGAAAGTAGCTTAGTGACAGCCTAGAGATTGTGGGGAGGGGAGTTTGCTGGAGGGAAAGGGGAAGAGTGACTTCTGTTCAGTATGTGGTTTCTTTTGGGAGTGATAAAAATTTTCTAAAATTGGTTGTGATGATGGTTGCACAACTTTGAATATACTGAAAACTACTGAACTGGACACTTTAAATTGGTGAATTCTGTAGCATGTGTATTATATGATACCAAACCCATGTTGGTTTTTTTTTTTTTTAATATGGGTTCCAGAGAAGGATAACTAGATTTGAATTTTGGTTTTATCCCTTACTGTAAGTTGTGCAACCCCGGGAAAGTTGCTGACCTTCTCTGAGTCTGTTTCCTGTATGTAGAGTGGGGATGATGAGAGCAATACCCACCTATTGGTGTCGTTGTAAGGGTTAAATGAGATGACACATGCAAACATTAGCCCGCTGTCTAGTTCTGGATAAATACGAAAATCAACTATGACGATGATAAGATTGAAGAAGAGTGAATCAGTCTTACCTAGATAAGCAGAACTGGGAAGAAATCACATATGGAGCAAGTAATAAGGGTGTGATTGAGCTTGGTTTATTTGTGGGCCCTGAAGAAGATAGCTAGTTTAAACATTTTTACAAGCTGGAGGTAGCAATCTCTTGGTAGTTTTGACTGGTGGCGGTGCCCAGGATGACAGTGCTGTCATGTGAGGATGGCCTACCACAACGCTGGGTCATGTTTGCTTTGATGCCTGATTGGGCTGGGACAGAATCCTGAGGAAGAAGTACAGAATCTGAAGAAAGTATTTTTATTGAAGTCTTGCTGCATCTGTGACCTGAAGATCCTGGTTCTTCTTCTTTTTTTTTTTTTTTTTGAGTTGGAGTCTCACTCTTTGTTGCCCTGGCTGGAGTGCAGTGGCACGCGTACATCCACTGCAGCCTTGACCTGCTGGGCTTAGGCGATCCTTCCACCTCAGCCTTCTAAGTAGCTGGAACTACAGACGCACGCCACCACGCCTGGCAAGTTTTTTGTGTGTGGGACTTATAGTAGACACGAAGTTTTTTACCAAGTTGCCCAGGCTGGTCTGAAACCCCCAGGCTCAGGCAATCTTCTTGCCTCGGCCTCCCAAAGTGCTGGGATTACAGACTGAGCCACCGCGCCCAGCCCATTCTGAATCTTCTTATCCAGGAGTCAGTTGGAGAGAAGATGTGTATGCCTAGGTTTGCATAGTCTACCAGTGTCTCTGAGTGGGGTACATTAGTCTGACTTTTGGCTTCTGCATTTAAACCACAGGTGGGAGTAGAGGTGGCATAAAATAAGGCCTCGGGTTCAAAACCTGTTACTCTCCTGCATCCAGGGAAGGTTGAGACCATGGCTCATCATTTTTCAGGACACCCTGAGAACTCATCTTGAGTGGGATGAGCTGCATTGGGAATATTGAGTGAGTTGCAGAGGTCTCCAGTCAGAGGAAAGAACTAAATGTATCATCCACATTCGAGTCCTTCCTTCCTAGGATTCCTTATTTTGGCCTGTGGGGCTAAAATTGTAAGGCTTTTAGAGTGAACCTAATATTAGAAAATGCATCATTGTGTTTTCCTTTCTGATAATTACTATGTTTACTTCCATTACTTCTAGCTAAAGATCATCACCCTAGTAAACCTTTGCCAGAGAATCCAGAAGAATTCACCAGTGCAGCCACTGCAGACCCCAGAGCCCGGCTACAGGCCCACATAAACGGTCACTCTGTGGCCTTCAGCAGATCCACATGCCAACGCAGCACTGAGGTAAGGCTTTAAACTCAAGGGATGGTAAAAAGTGGTTGAAGTGTAGGAATTGGACAGATTTTTGAGCTCAGGTGTAAATACTGGGATTTCATCTTAGGAAGGTTGTGTATAGGTGTAACTTGCTTCACAGTAATTGTAGAATGTTGATTTGAGAACAAAATATTGCTTGAGCAATCTTTTTCTGAGCTTTTGCAAAGTATAAGATGTTTTCAGGTAGTTAGCGTCAGGGAAGATTAGGGTGGGGGAGTTACCAAACCAGTTGATTTGCTGCTCTTTTAGGCATGTCTGCAGGGACTATTCCATAAGGACCTGTTACTTAGATACTCCTAAATTATAAGAATCTCTTCATGCTCTGGTGTGTTATGGGGCAAATGACTTCTCAAAGAATAAACTGGGTTTCCTACTTGGTTCTCAGACTTAGATTATCAGAGAGAAAAGGTCAGTGATCACAACCATGGGGAGGATTGGTTTAATCCACCCTGAATTAACCACAGAATGAAGGTGAGAATTAAAAACAAACCTGATCTGGTGCTTTATAATAAGGAAGGTTGAGGACATTTAAATGTCACTGAAGTTTAGCTTGAAATTATACTCTGTGTAGCTCTATGCCTAGATAGAATGGATTCTTAAATGAAACTCTGCCCTCTGTCCAGGTTCACGTATGCGTAAATTATTAAGTTAAATTTTCTCTCAGCTTGTCTGTCCCATAACTTCTTTTCCAGACCTCAAGGAGACCGAACTCAGCAGCCTTTTTATTCTGGAAGGCATACGTAAAAATAGGCTTTTTTGGCTCTGTGTGTATGTGTTCTCTTTTTCCAAAAAAGAAGAAAGGGAAGGTAGGCATGCAGTGAAAACACTGAAGGAGGAAGACTCGTCTGTCCTCACCTGAACAGAGTCTGCACCAAGGCCACCTCAGGCTTTGTCCTGTTAATGTGACAGGGATGCCCTTTGTGTAGGGCGTGTATTGGGAGTAGGGTTGCAAAGAGGTAGAAGACACAAGTTCCAACTCTAAAGGGTTTGGTTAAACTGAGAAAGCAGAACACTGGATTAAAAGAAGAACGACTTGTGGTAACCCATGCGAAGATCTGTATAATCGGGGCTGGCAGTGCACACTGGAGACTTTGGAAGAGGGCTGGGCGTTTGAAACCTGCTGTGTCATTCTTGGCCTCTTGGGCTTAGCTACCCAGCTCCAGTGATCCTGTCTGCTTTTGGGACCCCCTCCGCCTTTTTTGTTTAATCTTAAAAATGAAGGTCTTGAGTAATTGGTAACTGAAGTTTTTTGTCTTTTTTTAGTTCTGATATTATGGGGTTGTCTCATCTTTTTTGTTACCAAGTAATGGTTAAGAGTCTGGTCTCTAAATTAGTCGTCAGAGTTTGGATCTTGGCTCTATGATTTATTAGCCATGTGACCTTGGTTTAGTTATTTACCTGTTGTGCCTCAGTTTTCTCGTCTGTAAAATGTGGATAATAGCAGTACCTCTGTCATAAGTTTGTTGTCAGAATTAAATTAATTAGTATATAAAAGCCATAGAATATGCCAGCACTTAGTAGATGATACATAAATGTTTGTTACATGAAAGAACTACTCGTTCTTCCTCTTTTCCTATCAGAACTTAAAACCTTGGATGGTGAGGTTTCTTCTCTCAATCCTGAGTCTCAGTTAATGGCAATCAAGGATCTGACTTAATTATAAGTGTAATTAATCCCATCAGTGGGTTAATAGCTACCATTTGAATGCCAACTATTTGCCCGGCATTATTTGGTCACTCTGCTTACATTTTAAGACATTATTAAAGAATGGGAACTGTGCACAGTAGTGGCTCTCGCCTGTAATCCCAGCACTTTGGGAGGCCAAGGTAGGAGGATCACTTGAGACCAGGAGTTCAAAACCAGCCTGAGCAATATAGTAAGAGTTTGTCTCTAGGAAAAAAAAACTTAGCCAGCCAAGCATAGTGACATGTGCCTGTAGTTCCAGCTACTGGGGAGGCTGAGGTGGGAGGATAGCTTGAGCCCAGAAATGCATCTTGGGCAACAGAGCGAGAATAGGAAAATTTCAGTTTTAACCCTGCCCTAGTTTCTAAATAAAGAATAGGAAAATTTCAGTTTTAACCCTGCCCTAGTTCTGCAATGAAAAGTTGGACTAGTAGTCAGGGTTGCTACTAGTGATAGGTAGTTAGATTCTCAGCGTGTTCCTTGCAATCCCAGATCTCTTTGACCTGTAATTACTATCATCCTTACAATTATCCCTGAAATCTACTAACTTCCTCATTTCTCAGCTCTTCTGTCCCTGAAAAGGTAAAGCTTTGCCCTCCCTGTATTTCTCCCATTTTTACTTATTTAAATCTACTCTGGGAATGAATAACTTTTCTTATAAAACCTGTGTTAGTGATTTGCATACTTATTTAAATGTAGAGTTATTCTGCAAATTTATTTAATGTCATTATCTGAATAATTTCTGGGTACACTAGGTCTTCTAGATAAACATCCTCTGGTTTTACCTTGGCAGTTACTAGTTTCTTAGCTTTTCCAAATATATAAGCTATTTTCATATTGATGCCCATTAATATAGAGATTAATTTTCAATGTCTTTGGCCATGAAAGATGGTTAGTGCCTCTCCTGGCAAAAAAGTAGTGCATTTCTTCTATGAGAGTACAACTCATATACTCGGTTGTTTACATTTATGTATTATTATTTTTTAGGTGAATTTATTTAAATTTTAGATTTGGGGGTACACATGCATATTTGTTACGTGGACATATTATATAGTGGTGGGGTCTCAGGTACACATTTATTTATTTTTTAGTTACCTTGAAGTAGCATTTTCCCAGGTTATTTCCTTCCATTTTGATTTGTCTCATTTAACAATTGTGCTGTGAATAAATCAGAAAGGGGAAACTTTGTTTTTATATTTTCACTAGGTCTGATTAACATATATTTCTTTCTGATGAGTAATGCAATTTGCATGAATTCAAGTTGGGAAGTGCCTACAAGGAAATCAGCTTCTACAGAAATTTAGTTTCTCACGGTTGCATAACACATTAATTACCCTATGTGTTTTGAATGCCTCCTGTGATGAGTGGGTTTGAAAGTGCAAAGTAAACCTTCCTTGTCTTTTCAGAAAATGCAGTATTTGTTTCTTACAGATATTTCAGTTGAAATTCAGAAGAATGCAGCTGGAATTAGCAAATGATATCGCATTACAGCCTAGCCAATGCTTGCTATCTAGATCCACTGCCGTTTCTCAATGATGTGTTTATTTTACACACACAATTTACTATCCTCTACTTTTATCAACGAGAATACTCTAGAAGCAGACACTTCTGACATTCAGTATAGATCTTTAATCTTGTATTGTGGAACAATGCTAAAGTTTAATCAGAGTTAAAGTAACCTACAAAATAGCAGTTTCTTGAAGTGGAATCATGTGGACTCTGAAATCTGGAAAGTTTATTTTCTACATTTCACATATTATCAAATGTTGATAATTACTTTTTGGAGGTATTTGTAGGATTTACTCTCTGAATCTGGAAATTTGGGGGTTTTTTGGTAACAGATGGCAAATGTTTTATTTCTAAAATTAAGTACCTAGGAGTCTGCAGTTTTATATGTATATGAATTTTTAATTACCAGTTTCAGAAAGTGAGCACTGGCATATGAATCGATGTTTGTCTTCGTGGTTTCCCAGTTACACTTTCCTTGTTCTTTCTTTAATGTCCGTCTTTAATGTCCGTCTTTCCTTTCCCCATCATTCTTTTCTTCAGCAGGCATATTACGACAAAGAAGACATTCAGCCAGAGAGAAAGAACCAGAAGGGTTCTTTTTAAATGGTGTTGCCTGGAGGAGCTGAACTCAGCCTGAGGCTTAGTGGCCATCCAGAAGAGTTAAGGGGAAGACCACTGAGGTTGTGTGAATGAATCCATTTTTCCATTTTTATCAAAATGTTGAATTTGGTCTATAGCAATGAGAGAAATCTTTCAGTGTATTTCTGTACAATGGAAGTATATTGTTTTAGTAGTTAAGTGTAGAATGGGGCAAGAATACATTTTCTTGATTGACAATCTCTGTGAATTATAGGCTACTCTGGGTTTTAAAATTTTATTGTATAAACTTGAGGAATATGGCTGTAAACTTTCCTAAAGTATTAATTACAGACTGTTTGTGTCTTGTACATAAAAGTCGTTTTTGTCAGTAGTTTAAATGTTATTTAGTGGTTAAAGTAGCTTTTATCCTTTAAGTAAAATTTTGTTTTTTGGTAGCATAATTTGTATAACTTGAGCAAATAATTTTTTTATAACTGATTTGTTGATTGAAGGTTACTCAGTCAAAAAATAAATAATACTTCAACTTTTGTAAGGATATATTTTTTCCTAGGGTTGCTGCATAATATTTTGGAAATAGTAAGCATTCCAGTACTTTTAAAAATATAGTTTTAAACCCATTTTATAGTGAAGTAGACTGAATCACTAAATATGTAAAAAGTATTTTATGAAGCAATACAGAGGAGTCATTGACAATTGAATAGAATCAACAACTTCAAATACTCTTTTAAATATCATTACTGTCAACAGGAAGAATCTTATGGGTTACATAAAAATGAACTAGAAAGTTTTCAAAGAGAAGGCTGGTAAGGAAGAAAGTAACAAAACTGGATTAGAGGTTCTCCTATAGGTTGTAACCTCTTTTTTCATTTTCTTCCTTGTTTTTCAACTTCTTCCAGGTAAAGAAGTTATTTAAGTCTATGTGTGTTCCTTATTTTTTGCTTGAACTTGATCAAACAGGTAAGATGCTGTTTAATTTGTAAATTATATCTGCTAAGTTTACATTTTGTTTGATCTATTCTATCTGGCTTCACTTTTTTTTCCTTGAGGTTTTATCATTTAGTAAGTTCTTGCTAGCTGATTCCTCTTTTTGACAATTAAGATAGGATGCTCCCTAGAGCTAATCTCACTGACCTTTAGCCTTTACTTAATTTATAACGTTGGTATTATCCAGAGTTTCC